GGGCACGCATGCTCCCGAGAGAGAGGGGAGGAGAGTTGCACAAGGGCGGGTTTATGCCGTACGTGGTGCTTTCCGTGGGCTAGCAGGAAGCGTGGCCCGTGTCCTTTTCAACGTGTGGAAAGAAGGCCAAATGGAAGAGAAGAAAATGAAAAGTGAAATTAAGTGAAGAGTGAAAACACGTACGGTCATAGACTGCTTCTCGCACATGCTTCAGCAGGTAGATAAACATTACATCTCCGCATGCACAGTTCTCAGTAGAAAGGTGCAAATTCCCCCCGACACGTTGTTTTGGGCCCAGGCTGCGCTCCTGGCACTCCTCAGGGTGCTTCTCCCAGGATCGCCTTTGGGCACCACCAACTTTCCCGACCATCTGAGCTCGAGGGCCATTGGCTTTGCCCTCTGCCTTATACTAGTCGCCTATCTACCTGCTAAGTCACACGCTCACTGTGTGTCCTAGTTTGCCGCGACGTTCCGTTACGTGTCCGCAGCACCTTACAGAAATTTGAAATTCGCAACAACAAGAAGAAGAAGAAGAAGAAGAAGAAGAAGAAGAAAGACCGTGAAGGGAGGAGTGAGAGGGAAGAGGAGGGGAAACGCACAGCAGAAGGGAAAGAGGGGAGGAGATGGAGAGAACGGGTAGGGATAAGAGTGGAGCTGTAGAGGGGTGCAGATGGGAAGAATGTTGGCGGGCATTAACCACGTTTCATTAGACAATGAAGTAGACAGGGGTTCCCAGACGATGAAGGAGAGAGGGAAAGAGGGAGAGTGGGAGAGAGGGAGAGAGGGAGAGAGGGAGAGAGGGAGAGAGGGAGGAGGGAGGAGGGAGGAGGGAGGAGGGAAGCACGACACGTGCAGGAAGAAGGGTGGGTGAACGTCCGTGAGACGGAATGGAGGAAATGGAAAAGGCAACGGAGAGAGTCGTCGTGTCTCTCACGCCCTCAACAATTAACTTTCACTCTGCCTACTCAGCAACGGCGTCAGGTCGTGCTCTGAAACGGCAACTTCTTGTTCTGAGAGCATATTCACACCAGGCGTTTCCTGGATGTATCGGACTCCACTTACGGCCGGAGACGGATGTATATGACCGCCATTGCGTCCAGAGAGCAGTCGGACAAGTCCCAAGTGTGAGTGCGCCCTTGAGAATGCCTCACTTGCAATCAACAGCTTGGCTTTTCGCCTCTCCCCCCCTCTCCGCGCGAGGGGAGCGAGATACTCCCACTCCGTTACAGCAATACCCTTCCCGACAGACTTTGAGATCGCGACCCATTGAGATCGCGACCCATTGAGATCGGGCCCCACCCATGAACAACAGCACCATTGCAACGGCTACAAGCTGGAGTGATCCCTACCCCTTCTCTCCACTCTTATCCCTACCCCTTCTCTCCATCTCCTCCCCTCATGAGCTTTCTTCCCGAGTCCACAAGCTCCTTGACCCAGGGACCCAGCTGGTCGGGACCCATTGAGTCATCCTTGGCAAAAGAGAGAGAGAGAGAGAGAGAGAGAGAGAGAAGACGTACTGAGTCTAAGCTATTTGACTCGGGAACTCAGCTGATCGGCACCCATTACGATTTATTTTTATAATTACTTCGCCGGATTGAGGTTCATATAACGAATCAGCCATCAATGTTCTTGATAATTAAAACGTCTAAATGAGATGTTTCGTATTTTTTTAATTCGGTTATATCTTATATAATTTTGTTTGATGGTTGACTTGCAATTTTGTTGAATAGAAAAATAAGATCACCACTGGAAACTTGAAAGCTAGGCCGAATGGCAATTTGATGATTACCACAAGAATTCATCGTTGGAGGGTTGGGGGTGTTTAA